CTGAGACAAGCCCCATCCTTAAACATGGAAACTGTGAGCCAGACAAGAATTCTGAGTCTGTGACCAAAGTGCCAAGGCAGAGGAAAGATCAGAATTTATGGCGTCACTTGGAGAAGACCAGCGGTCAAAACTTCCAGTGACCTTGAAACTTCAAAAGTTCAGGAGACTGTTTCTAAAGATGTAACGCAGACTGGATGGGGCTCCTGGGAAAGCTGGGGCAAGTCCTTGCTCTCCTTAGCTTCAGCTAGAGTGGCTATAGTAGGAGAAGGTATTTCAAATGTCATTGAGAAGGCAGCGACTTCCCTTGGGATCCTGAGTCCCAGTGAAATTTCTTCTGAAGTCAAGTTTGCAGCAGAAGAGACAAATACCAGAGAGAATGAGAACTCCTCCTTGGTGGCTGGTCCATTGGGTGTATTCTCAACCATTTCTACTCCTATTTAGACCACAAGAAAGAGCATTATCGCTGGAGGTTTGGATGCCTTAAAATTCATTGAGAAAAGAACAATGGATGTAATAGCAGAAGGGGATCTTGGCTTTAAAAGAACTAAGGGTCTGATGATCCGAAATTCTACACTATCTCAGGTTTTACAAGAGGCGAAGGAGAAAGAAGAGCTATAGACCTCCAATGAGGTAACCATGGAAACTGAAAAAATACTCACGGGCTACTATTTGATAAATTTCAAGGCCTTTCCCATCTAAACGCTCTGGAGATGCTTTCCCAAGAAACTGAAATAAAGGTGAAGTCTTCCTTAATTCTCTAAGTGGAGAAGAATTAGACCCTAAAACTTGAATTAGAGTAACTCAAAGAAGCATTTTCCCTAAGAGAGGTTTGTGATGAAGAGGAAGAAGAGAGAAAGGAGGATGAAGAATTCACAACATGCTCTGTTTATTAGTGTCATATTGTTACTCTTTTCTAGAACAAAGTCTGTGGCTTTAAGAAAACTAGGCAGATATAAATTCTGAAATGATTACCATTTACTACATAAGTTCTTGGAAATGCATACGAAATCTAGTCCTGTCTTTAATTCTCCGTAGATGGTTGGCATTAAGGAGAACTTTCTAGAATATTATACTCACAGCCACATGACCTATAGCAAAGTACCCTTTGGCTTCAAATAACTTTCCCACTCCAAATGACAAGCTTCAGGTTGTAGCTAGCTCCTACTCAAGTGGATTCAAGGCAAATAAGTTTAACTTAGAGAAATAGTTTTGTGTTTGCAGATACTCAAGTCTCTTCGGGTTAATTTTTTGTTACTATTTTTTGCAAAGTCTATATGCAGGATAAATTCTTTAATAGTGAACTCCAGAGGAGTGCTGAAGACCTTTTGTTAGTGGGCTTTTGTTGTTTAAGTATCATTGAAGTCAATCATACACTCATAGAAATGATGCTATCTATAATAGGATTTAACCTCTGAAATACTTTTCTTCTTGTCCTTTTTTGTTTTAATGTATTATTTAACATGATTTTAAATGCCACTTTTGTCCTCCAGATCTTAAGCTTTTTTTGTTCTTTTCAAACACTAAAACCTATTTTGGTATCCACTCTTTTTTAAAGAAGTTTTCCAACTTTGTGGTTTTCAGTGATTGAGGTAAGCTTTGTGAGCTCTGCCCCTTTTCTTCTAAATTCCTTAAAATAAAATGTGATTGAACGCACTTCAGTGAGATATTTCACAAATATCAAGGATTAAAATCTTTTATTGTATTTTAAGTTAAAAAAGATTTTGGAAAGACAAAACCAAACCCAAAAGTCATAGAATTTCTTCCTGTTAATGAAGGGATTTGCTCCCTGAGGTTTTTGTTGCATTCCAGTCCTCTGTGGCCTCAGCTGAGATTCAGAAGACGTAGTCCTATTGCTAGGTCCCAACCTCTTCCTCCACCCACCACCTGTATGACATGATACAATCTAGCAATGTTTATTACTTACATTTATAATGGATTAAAATTATTTCCTTAATGTAACAAGATGTCTATTAATTATTGATTTTTGAGAGAGTAATAGCAAATTTATTAAGAGTTATTGTTAGGATATTTTTCTTCTGTGAAGAATGTCCTCAGTATATTGACAAATATTTTATTGGATGTGTGTATCACTTTCAGTGATATAGTCATTTTTAACAACATTAATTCTACCAATCCATGAGTACAGAAGTCTTCCCATCTCCTAGCATTATCTTTAGTTTCCTTCTTTAATATTTTGTAATTATCATTGTAAAGGTATTTTATTACCTCGATGGGTTTCTTCGTAAGTGTAATACTAAGCTATTTTTAATGAAATTGCTTTCTTGGTTTCTTTCTAATCAAAATCAGAAAGATTTTGGTAGAGAGAAAAGCTATTGGTTGTGTATGTTGACTTTTTTATCCTATCACCTTGCTGAATTTTTTTATCACCTTGCTGAATTTTTTTATCAGCCTTAAAAGTGTTCCTCTTTTTTTAGTTTGAATGAAACCTTAACAATATTATTTATCTTTTTAAAAAACACTACTGTTTCTCTCACTGATCTTTTGTATGGTTCTGTTAGTCTCCATTTTACTAATTTAAGCTCTGATCTCAATTATTTCTTTTCATCACTTTTAGGGTTTGCTTTATTCTTGTTTTTCTAAGAATGAGGTGCATCATTTGATTATATTTTTATATGTAGGGATACCTATCTATAAACTTTGCTCTTAGAATGGCCTTTTCTGCATCCCAGATTCTGATATGTCAGATTCCATTGGCATTTGATTCTAGGATTGTTTAATTTCCCACTGAATCTCTCAATGTCACACTGGTAACTCAAAAGTATATTATTCCATCTAAATGTGTTTGCGTAATTTCTGTGGTTTCTCTTGTTGCTTCATTCCCCTGTGATTGCATTCCACTGTGTTGTTTCATTCCAATCTGATACTGGAGTCACAGACTATTTTGTATTGGTATCTATTTGCTTCTTTAAGTTTGTTTTATGAAATTTCTCTCACCAGTATCTGATGCATACATGTTTGCTGTTGCTATATCTTCTTGGTGAATTATTCCTTTTACTGATCTGTAGGAACTTTCTTTGTCCCTTCTGACTACTTTTGACTTGATATTGACATTGTTCAGTATAACTATGCTAGCCCTGCTTGCTTCCAGATTACGTTTGCATGGAATATCATTGTCTACCCTCTATTTTCAGGGTATGTACAACTTTACAAATGATGTGTGCTTCTTGCAGGCAACATACAGTTGAGGTTTTTGTTCAGTCTTGCAATGCTTCTTTTAATTAGAGAATTAAGACAATGTACATTCAGAGATATCTTTTAAGAATATGTACTAATTCTTGATGTTGTTTTGTTTTGTGATATTTTATTCATTTCTAATATTCATTTTCTTTTCTGTGTAGTGTGCTTAAAGTATCTTTTGAGGTGCTTGTTTAGTGGTCATTAATTCTTTTAATTTCTCCTTATTTTTCAAGGTCTTTAATTTTCTTTCAGTTATGAAGGATAAGTTTGCTGGATATAGTTGTTTTTTTTCTGTGCTTGAAAAACATTATGACTCCCTGGCCTTTAGGCTTCTGTTGAGAAATCTATGGTAATTTGTCCGTGTTTGCATTTGTAAGTGGCTTGACATTTGAGTGATTTGGCCCCTAACCTGACCTAGATTTTAACCTTGCATATACAACTAGACCTTTCCACTTGCCCAGAGTCAGCAAGCTTCATATCCTCATGCTCATGGCCTGTATGTCAGGCTTGATCTCCAGACTGTACTACTTCAGGCCCATGCCAGCATCAGTCTGCTCCAGAACTGCACTTGTCCAGCAGCACACTGGTCCAGTGGATATACTCTTCAGGATGATTCCTGAGGATTCAGTTCTTAGATCCTTTCCATAGTCTCAATCAACAGGAGCACCCCCAAATGAATCCAGGCTTCAGACTTTTCCATCTGCTAAAAAGGGATAAAGCCCACCAGTCCATGGACTCCAGAAGCAAGACCTTACACACTCTGTACCAGGTAGCCTACCCAGAATCTCTGAAAAAGCCAGTCTGTGAAGACGAATACTATTTAGTTCTTCACACTTACATACACCACTGCACAACCACAGAGATCAAGAACAATTGGGGAAACGGAACATTATAAAAAAAGCAAGCTAAAGTGCCTATGATTAGCCTAAGAAAGCGGAGACATATGAACTGTGTGACAAAGAATTCAATATTACTGTTGCAAGAAAGCCAGCAAATTTCAACAAAATATAGAAAATCAATTCAATGAAATGACACAAAAAATAAATTACCAGAACAAGGCATTTAACAGAGAAATTAAAATAATACCATAAGTGAAATGAAAACTGCAAAAGAGCATCAACAACCACTTGACCAAAAAAAACGTCTGTGAATGTAAGAGAGGTTATTGGCACATAGGCAGTGAGAGAAAAAAGTCAAAGAATAAAGAAAGCTTATGGAATTTATGGGACAGTGTTAAAATAGCAAATTTTCAAGTCATATAATTTCAAAGATAAGGAGAGAAAGACAAATTTTAAAATTTAACAAAATTGTAGCATAAAACTTTCCAAATGTGGAGAAAGATATAAATATCTAGATACAAAAAGGTCAAAAGTCTCCATCAGATGCAGTTTAGACAAGATTTCTTCAGGACATATACTAAATTTGCCAATGTTTGGTGACAAAGAGAGCATCATGAACACACAGAGAGACATACAAGGCAATTTCAATATGGTTACTGGCAGATTTCCCAGCAGAATCCTTAGAGGCCAGGATAGAGTGTATATTTAAAGAATTAAAGGAAAATAATTGGTTACCAAGAATGTTGTAACTAGCAAAGTCTTCTTCAAAAATAAGCAAATAGAGTCCCCAGCAACCAAAACCTAAGGGAGTTCGTCATCAGACTTGTCTTAACAAAAACTGCTAAATGGCATTCTCCAAATCAAAAGAAAGCATGCTAATGAATAACACAACAACATCTGAATATGTAGAAGTCACTGGTAAAAGTAAGTGCATATTCACATTAAAATACTCTGACACTGTGATGATAATATATAAATTATTTATTTATTATGAAGCATAAAAGACAAAACTGTTAAAAACACCAGCCACAATAATTTGATAAAGGATTATATAACATAAGAAGATGTTAATTGTGTCACGAAAAATCAAAATAGGTATAATGGAATTAATACGTAGTTTTGGGTTTGTGAGTGATACAAGTGTTATAAGCTTAAAATAATCTATTATATCTTAGAGAAATTCTTTGTTAGAATCATGATATCCATAAAGCAAACATCAATAACAAATAGAATAGAAATTTGTTGATCACATTGCTAAAGAAAAGTTAATAATGTTGTCTGCCTGGTGCTGCAGATGATTTGGTATGGAGGAGTCAGGGGATTGATACAAGAGAAGGCAACTGGAACATCTCAAAATGACAAAATGGTGCGGATACTAAAATAAAAAATAAAAGACATTGTTTTAAAATTTAGACCACTCACAATCTTCCATGCAAGTGCAGGAAACACTTGCTGTATCTCAGTGAAAATTACCTGTGTTTCCATTCTTATCTCTGTGGATTAAAGCCAAGTCAGTATAAGGGAAACTTTTACTTTTCTGGTTCTTTTGTGTTTTCTCCAATCTTAAACTCATTCATAACATTCATATATGACTACATATATGACTCTCTGATTTTTCTCTGTATTTTCATCATTCCCTTCACCCTGAAGAGAATGATAATAAAAACTAACATTCAATGACTACCATGCATAGCTTTGCAGCCAACAAAACACTGCACAATTTCATGGAAAACAAGTTGACTAATGAACACAGCTGCAGTAACTTTGAATTCTATCTCCTCTGACTACTACTGGCATGATTTTAGCCAAGTCAGGTTCTCACAGCAGCTCAGTTTTCCCCAAAGATGGAGCGGCTGAGATGAGTATGCCATCATTGTTTGGGAATCACAGGAGATAATGCAGATGACAACATGAGAAACACAGCTGGTGCTCTGTGGATGTTAGTTCATTTCCTCTCTCAGAAATGTGTCACATGAAGTTTCTGATACAATATTTTATGTGAGGGCATAAAAATACCATTCACACTTGAAAACTCATGAGAAGGGTGGGCAGCAGAAATGCCTGCACAATGGAGCTATGCAGAGGGGTTATAGGTAACTATCACTACCTATACACGTATAAATGCAGGTACCAAATTCATTGGTTAGGTGGTTGTAAATATGCAATGTCAGAAATAGAATATACTGGCTTTTTTCCTCTACTCTTTGGAGTAAATGGAAGACTGAAGCATTTAAAATAGTATTTTGGACCATGTCTTTCTTATAACTTTCTTTGTGAAAACTTCTTTGTAAACTGCAAAAAGAAATAATAATAGTACTCTTATAGAAAAAATTAGTAGCAGCTATATAGAAAACAATCAATGTAATTCTCCCTGCTCTTACAATGAAAGTTCAGGGATGTCCTGAAAGGAAGCCGCTGACATATGAAAGTTCCATTCTAGGAGAATGTTTGTAAGTCAGATTCATTTGTAAGTGACTCAGTGAGTCTTATACACCTTTGGCACAAATATATAATGTAAAACATTTTAAAAAGACACATAAATACAGCAAGTCCCTGACTGTACTGTACTATTGTACATTATCACACTGTACAGTAAGCACACAGCAGCACAACTGTGATAATATCTGGCAGACACCTGAGCTACTTCTACAATTTGTTTGCATCTATGAATATTTGTAATGCAAGGTTCCCTGGTATCTGTGAAAGTTCACAGCTCAAATGTTTGTAAGTTGGGGACTTACTGCACAATGATTATACACCCATTTCTGGTCAGCATTTAGTGGTCACTCAGAAACTTCACTGACTCCACCATCTAATTATGATTTGGTGACTGATGATTTCTCTGGAAAAAGTGAGGGTGCTTTCATGCAGAAGCTCCCAGATTTTCTCGAAAACAACATAATTTGGCTTCAGCAGGATAGGAAGTACTAAACAACTGTACTTAACTTCCCACAAGGTGGTCTTATATAATCTATGTGCAGAGACTGAACTAATGATGGAAAACACAGTGCTTCAGTTTTCGCTCATCCCTCCACTTTGTTATTCTCTGTCAGCCAACCCCCTACTATAAACAGAAGCTTAAAATTTACCTCTTTCCAGAACGAAGAAGGTCAAATCCTTCATTTATCTTTTCAAAAGGTAAAACATTGGTTATTAATGGATCCAGTGGAAATTTCTTTGCCATAAAATCAGTCACAAGTTTGGGGACAGAATCTTTACCCTTAAAGCCTGAAAGGAAGACAGGATTGTTAGATTCAACAGGAAAAGCAGGTGAACTGGAGAGGAGACTTTCAAGTAAAAATAAACTGAAAGATTATAAAAAATGCTCCATTCCACAGACTGCTACTGGTGAGGAGAGTGTGAGATGGAGGACTTCCACACCATTTTGCAGTGTGTTTCAATGCCCCAAATCAACTAGGGGCCATAACTAGCTCTTTTATAGAGAAATTATGACTGCCAAAACAAAGTGAAAGAGCAAATTTACAGTTGTCTCAAAGTGAGCAAAGGATGTAGACGCTGATGATTGCTGTACATTTCCTGTGTGTGTCGTACTGATAAATTGAGTACCTCAGGCACTCACAAGTATAAAAAGAGCTGGTGCTGAAAGTTACTTCTTACTTTCTCTCCACATTTATTCCATAAATGTATGCCAGAGAAGTCTATGACAACAGAGAAGTCTGTCTTGGGACTTTCTTTCTACATTTCTTCCATATCTAATTGTTTTGGATGCTATAAATACAACAGGAACTTTACATGCTTTTTAACCACAGTGCTTTTCAAAACATGACCTGGTCGCTTGTAAAAGGGAAGAAATTCTGAGGTTAATACAAATCTGGTCCTCACACTGTACTACCTACCACCAAAGATGGCTCCTTTCCAAGTGCGTCCAGTCAACAGCAGCATGGGGTTCACGGGGAGGGTCTCAGAATGAGGAGGGACTCCTACAATCACGCTCACACCATGTGACTTCTCACAGCAGAGCAAGGCAGAGTTCTGGAATAAATACCAATAAATACTTAACACCCTCAAAGTGGATTTCTGGTCACACTACTCGTGGTGCACCATATCATGCAAAATTTAATTAGCTAGGTTGTAACTTTGTGGAGCAAAGAAAGTACATCTTTCACTTTTTCATTCTCCCTTGAGTCTAGCACTTGTTGCTTTGAAAAATACCTAGGAAATATTTTTTGAGTGAAGAATGGATGAATGAATGTCTTCCTTATAAATACATAAGGAGCCAAATATTGTTACAAATATATAAAGTCTGGGTTGTCAGGAAAGTTGCTGGTTGAGTTACTTCATTTTTCATTTATCTCAAGCATGTCTTTTGATGGTAAAAAAACATACCTATTACCTTTCACAATTTCTCTCTTGTCAGTTTGGTAATTTTTGTTTATAAGAGGTTTCTCTATTGTATATTACTAAAAAAGACATATTTTAAACTATATTTTACCTCCCTGGATTGTATCCTAGTTTTATTTTAAGCTACACTCATTATTCTAGAATCTCAAAAGGCAATCCCAAAACCTTTCCTCCAAGGCAGCGGTTTGAATATGTCCTGTAGTAAAAGATTGGTTCACAATCTTCCAAGATATAGAATTGATTGAGGCACTTGATTTTAAAGTGTGAAATCCAGAAAAGGAGACATCCTCAGAACATGTCTGTTTTTTGGTGTCTTCACGTAAAGGACCAAAGCAGTTCCACATGAGAAAACAAACAAAAACAGCATAACAAGGAAAGCTAAAGCCTTGGGGAAAGTTAGATTTTCTTGAGACAGCTATCATATGTGGTATATTGTCCCAGGCCAAGATTACAAAAGCTTTTCTCTGAGGTATAGCTCTGCACTCACAACACAGGTGGGACTCACTGGAGAGCCAAACCAACAATGGTCATGTGTTGGTCTCTAGGGACTTATTCATCAGATTTCTACAGAACTCTGGTTAGGTGAAATATGGAACGAGAGGTGCTCTCTCCATGGCAACTGATGTTTGAAATAGTTTGAAAGTAAATAAATTCCAAGAATGATATAAACGCTGAAAGTTTAGAAATAGTATTTCATATTAATGACACCAGCTGACTTTAATTCAGAGCTTAACTCATGACAGATGGCATCACAAGAAGTATTTCATACACATTCTCTTATGTAATCTGTAACGGTGCTATGAGATAAGCATTATATTTGGTGGGTGATATTTCATTGTTTTTTCCAGAGCATTTTTTGCTTGCTCTATGCCAAGCATGGTGGTGTGGCTGTGGCAAAATACAGCAACTCGTAAAAGCAAGTGCCTTCCTTAGGGTATATTTTCTCTTAATAGTGGACTTGGTCCATTGTTGCTTTTGGATGGTTTTCAGAATTTATTGAAATGTAAAAAAATTTAAACTACATTTGCTAATAATGTATTGGAAAAACAAATTTGCTAACTTGAGTACAAAATTTGTATTATTTTTATATCTGTAACTGTTTTTGCTACAAATCGAGGACATTAATTGGTAATGGCTCAATTAAAATACAAATACTTTCCACCAATAAAGAGGAAATATTAAGTAATATTTTCTACCTTATGGAATGAAGGATGTCTCATAGCACTAAATTTAACAATCCGCGTAACAAGCAGGAGATTGTCTTTCTAAAATATATTTACACATAATATTTACTTTCTACTTCCTAGTAGAATATTCTAGATTGCAATAGCAGAGATAGCAAAGCAAATTTTGGTACATACTATGGTGTCAAGCCGACCAATGACTTCAAAGGAGAAATCCACACCTCCATTGCTCATTTCCTGTAGCACCTCCTCAATGGGTTTGTCATAGTCTTGAGGGTTGATGCACTCAGTGGCACCCAACTCTCTGGCTTTTGCAAATTTGTCTTTGTTGATGTCCACTGCAATGATCCTGGCTGCTCCAGATGCTTTGCAGCCAATGATAACAGAGAGGCCAACTCCTCCCAGGCCAAACACAGCACAGGTGGAGCCCTGGGTGACCTGTGTTTGCAGAAAATGCAAAAGTGGATTGATAGTGATTGTTAGAAAGTGTCTGAGCCATAGAAAGTGCCAGGTCTTGTCTGCTCTCAGGAGCTACTCAGATTCCATGTCAACCTACTGCCAAGACTCTTCTGGCTACAGTTACTTCATGTTTAATTTGAGGGACTTGAACTAAACCAGTAGTTCTCAAACTTGACTGCACACAAACCTCATTTGGGAGCTTTCAAAAATCACAGCATCCTTGCCACAGCCCATGCTAATTAAATCCAACTCTCTACAGGTTGCACCCTGTTCCCAGTGCACACCAAGGGGAGGCCCTGAAAACCAGTGGGATGGACAAACTTTCACCTCTAAATATTAGTAACTAATCATGATGAGATTCTCAGATCCATCAATAGCCAGCTTCAGTTTCTGATACAGACACAAAAACAGTCTTGGGGATGATATAAATGAATGAGGTTACTCCAGGAATCTGAGCTATAATCTAATTACACTATCAGTAATTAAGTCCTTGCTTAGTTCAGTAACTTTCAGTAGACATAAGCAATGCAATACTTCAGAAAATAGCTCTGAAATATATAAGATGCATCCTTGTTATAACAAAAAGCCTAAACAGTAGGAGAAATTCAACAAATAACTACAAGAATGTAACACTTGGAACCCTGGTGATGCTTGTAGGTCTTTATCCCTGATATTTAAAATAAATCAATGAATAATAATGCAAAAAATTAGTTTATATTTTAATAACATTGAAACTCTTTCCCTGAGTATTCTCTGATTCTGTTTATATATAGACTCAATTCAACTACCTGCTACAGCCAACGAGACCACTGAACAAATATATGCTCTACACATGCTCTCATGGCTTACATTGGCTATGGCTGTTGAACAAGCCCAATCTTCTATGGTCAGCCTTCAATAGATAAAATATTCCTGTCCCAAGTAAACTCATTGTGATATTCCCTTAGGGCTGTCTATTCACTCATTCCTTCACCAAATGTAATTAAATACTATCAGATACAATATCATTTTCAACTTAAAAATACAGGGCTCATAAGTGTGATTTAAAAGTGCTAATAATTTTTGGGCATGATTTCAGATCAAAATCTCAGAAGAGATTCTAGTCTTAGATCAAATACTTATCAGCTGTAAAAATTTGGGTAAATAACTTTATGTCTCTGGATCTTAGTTTTATAAAGCAAAGGATGCCATATATTTGGGGAAGAGGTGTCTGTAATGAATTTCGACTGATACATACTGCTTCTGATGTATGCATGTTGTGTCAAGGAAGGTACGAAATCCCACAGTGAGTGACAGGAATGTGATGCTTCATTACTTTTACAGAATGGGTGACCCTTGATCTGGGGTTGTTTCAAGTAAGGTTTGGAATACAATGTTAACTTGAATTGTGGATGCAACATATACAGACACTTTTGTCCTCAAAAACAACCTTTGGAGTCATTGTTCATTTGATATCTTGTGGGCCAGAGCTGCTGATTCCTGGCTACCAAGGATGGGAGCAGGTTTAACTTAAGCTGTCCCTACTGGGATCATAGATAGGAAAAAAACGTTGACTTAGTGCCTGGGGAGGTACCTTTGGTTGTTTCCTATTTTAAAAATTGCAATAGAAAAAAAAACTCTTACAGTTTATTTATACTGACTCCCTCAAACCCAGCAGAACCTACTGTCCTAATGTGTATATCTTTTTTGCACTCTAACTGTAGAATAAATGACTAAATGAATCCCCAGACCTAAAACTCAGTATTCTCATGAAAACAAATATTGAATAGGTATTGCAAATAAAATCTTTACTTTTCCTTATCTAATCATCAACATTTTAATTTGTGATAAACAGGTGAATTTCATAGGACAGGTTCTCACTCTCCTTCTGGGTCTACTTTTTTATAAATTATCAACCACACAAATCTATGAAAATCACCTGTGGTCCCTAGGAGAAACTGCTTCCCTGTGGTTGCTGGCAAGCTGAGTGTACTGGTGTCATTGGATACTGCCAAGCCTACCTTGGCAACTTTGACTGCAGAACCATAGCCGGTAGAAAATCCACAGCCCATGAGACAGACTTTCTCCAGTGGTGAAGCTGCATCGATTTTGACCACGGAGATCTCATCCACAACTGTGTACTGAGAGAAGGTGCTGGTGCCCAGGAAGTGGTGGACAGGCTTCCCTCTGCAGGTGAACCTGGTGGTGCCATCCTGCAGGGTGCCCTTAGGGTCTGACAAACTGGTCAGTGAGACACACACACACACAAAGGACATGAGACAGGGCACAACTGATGCACAACCTCATTAGCAGAGCAAGGAAACGGAAGATACCTACTCAGTTTTCACACACATGTTGCTTTCTGGGTGTTTACAAGTTCTGCATTTTCCACACTGGGGAGTAAACAGCGGGATGACTTTATCACCTGGAGGGGAAATACAGTAAATTATTTTTCAATTTCTACCCAGGAATTAATAAATGAAGAACTTAAAGCTTATACATGGAGGCATGTGTCTTTGAAAATTTCTCCCAGACATAGAGTCCAATCACAAGACTAGCACTACTCATTGCCTTCAGCATTATTATCCATTTGGATTATGTGTCTTCATATCCAAGGAGGACATGAAGATGTAGATAAGAGCATGGATTAGAAATTATTTCCACTATATTCATAGTTAACATTATTATGCACACTGATTTTACTTAGAAACTTTATGCATCATCACATTAAATTCTTAATGAAAATTTAAATCTAAATCTATTTTATTATATAATGATATATATAATATTACATTATTATATGTATTATATATGGTGGAAATATATTTATATAAATATAAATTTTAATTTCTATGAGATGTTGGGAAGGTGGGATGTTTTGTTCAATAAAGTTAAGTAAAAATAAATGTAATTATTCCAATAAAACTACAATAAAATTCCTTTCTAAAGGAAACAACATGACCTCAGACAAAAACTATACTATTTTTTTCACTTTCTGTTTGGAGTTTAACAAAGTATTTGAAAAAGATGGAGGATGAATCTGCTGGCTAAAGTAATGTTTTAGAATTAAACATAATTGTCTTTTTAATCATATAGCTTTTTCAATAAAACCAAGAAAAATTGTTAGGCTGTCACATTTTATGAACAAACATTATGAGAAGGTGATGGCATGGAAATGTTTTGTTAATTCACTTCTCATTGTGAAAACATAATGCTGCACAATAAAATTAGGATTGAGCATTAAAATGAAATAATTATTAATTTATAACCCATCAAGTTTAACTATAACTAAAATTTTTAAAATGACATTTGTGGCTGCATGCTTCATACTCTGTTTATTTCATTTCCTTCCCTCTGCTCTATTGTAATAGTTTTGTGATCAGGAAGGTAGCCATATTGAAGGAGGAAGTTGGTGAGCAGGCTCCACCCCACACCTGACAAGACATCCTATTGACTCAGTCACAGCCTCCCAATTCCATCTTGTGAGGTCAGCACTGAACAATTTCACATACTGATCTAGAGACTGGGACACAGGCCTATGTTTTTTCCTTGTCCCATTTGTAGTTCTGTTTAGGTCTTGACACAGACAGTGCTCTGCCCCACTAACAAGGAGGTTATTAGAACATGAACTTCACTTTGACCAGCACTGTGTGTTTGTGATCCTCATGTACACCCAGCTCTAGTGTGGTGCCTGGCATCGAGTATAAACTCAATAATTGTTGAAGAAGAAAATATATGGTCATCTGCATGTAGCATGCCTGAGTCAGATGGAGAGAAAGGGAAAGGGACCACCTCTGTGTTCCCAGCTCATCCAGGATCCTGTGAGGTTTTACATCTCCAGATGCTGCAGTTCCTGATCTGCCCTGCATGATCTTGGCATCATGACCCAAAACACATTTAGTCAGTGTGAATTCTGTACCTGGTTTTACTGAAGTCACCCCTTCCCCAATGCTCTCCACGATGCCAGCTGCCTCATGGCCCAGAATCACAGGAAAAGTCGTTTGAAGTTTTCCACTAACCACATGGTCATCTGAGCGACAGATTCCTGTGGCCACAATCTACAGAAGAAAGGGTGGATGATAAGATTCAGAAATGACTATGCTCTCAGAAGATTTAACTTAGTCGATTTCTCAAAAGTTTGCTTCTAAAGAGTTCCAAGGTCTTGTTTGTAATCCATCCTCTTTCCAAATAACAAAACAACTGTTTATCTAAAACACTCCTCAACCTATCTTTTGCGAATTAAACAATCTAGAATAATTAATCCTGTGAAACAACTAATCTTGAAATGTTTGCTTTATGTAATACACAAGAATGCATACTTTTTTATGGAAGCAAAAATTACAGATTAACACCACAATAATATCTAATATTAATTGGTTTTGAAATTTTTTGAGTTTTCAAACCTAAAATAAAATAGAAGTAGAAAAGTTTTCACCTTAATACGAACTTCATGGGCTTTAGGGGGTGCGACCTCCACCTCCTCAATGGAGAAGGGTTTCTTTACCTCCCATAGCACAGCTGCTTTGCATTTTATTACCTGGAAAATCAGACAGAAAGATGAAGCTTTTACTATCAGCGATGTGTCTCTTCACCTTTGTACATACAACATGTAGCACCACGCCCCATACCTAACTCATTCTCTATAGAAATGAATGTTTCTGGTTTACAAGAATAAAAATATCTTTAAAAAATGTGTGAAGCAACAGCAGAATGACAGAGAAATACAATTACCTTTATAAGACATTGAAATGAGACAAAATATACTTTTTTAGACCACCCTTGTGTTGTTCTTCTCAAATAGGTGTTAGGAAATCAGTATTCCTGATACTTTCTATTGCTGTCCTGGAGTTTGTTTTTTATCCTCAACTGTTGACTTGTACATGAAGTTTTAATTATCATTATTTTGTTGATAATGTCAGTGTCTGTTCAAAACTTGCAAAATTTTCTGCTTAGGCTGGAAGGATATGATTTTTTTTTTTTTTTTTTTGAGACAGGGTCTTGCTATGTAGTTCAGGCTGGCCTTGAACTCTCAGCAATCCTCCTGCCTCAGCCTCCAGAGGGCTAGGATCACAGATATGTGCTACCATGCCTGGGAGGACCGTATTTAATTTTATTTATTTATTTTTTATTTATTCATCTTTGAGACAGGTTCTCCTTGTGCAGTTCAGGATGGACTTAAACTCACTTTGTAGCATAGGTTGGCCTTGAACTCACAGTGATCTTCCTGCCTCAGCCTCCTGAGTGTAGGACGTGATTTTAAAATAACCTCATACTAAACTTCCTGCAAAGGTGACTTCTCCTTCTATTTGTTTATATCTCTTCTGTAATTTTCTTTCTCTGCCAATTCTGTGTGGCTTGTGCTTATATTACTCCTGTGAAATAGCTTTGACAACCTGTTTTGGGGCCTCTTGCAGATTAGATTTAAGCTAAAATTACAGAGGTAAAAGCTAGTAGGGTACGTGTGTGTGTGTGTGTGTGTGTGTGTGTGTCTGTGTGTATGTGTGTGTGTACACACACAATAAGCTTTTATATACATATACCTATTTCAAAAATGGACTGGCGAACTATCGACTTGAATTTCTAGATATCTCATCTTCCACATGAACGTTCCTCAGAGTAAAGATGAATGCACATTTTCAGTGTTTAGAAATAAATCATAAAGCCTGTCTTCACTGTGGTAAAATATGTGCAGTTAAGAGGGCCTTTGTAAAAGAGAATTAGCATAGTTGGAAATATGATAGGAAAACTCAGTTAGAATTTGTTTTTCTGACAATTTTTGTTCCTTATTTATTTGTCAAATCTGTCTACACAATGGTCAATCCCAAAATAAAAATGAGATACTTGGAAATGATATACTAATCATGGATAGGTCCTGATTATTGTGGACCTTAGGTTCGGCAGGTACATTGTGGACTGTGCTCGTAGGAAAGCAATGGTGAATTATTGCCTTATTTTATAGATGAAAATGTTGAGGCTCAATGGACTCAATAACTGAGTAATTTTTCCAGCACCATTTAATAAAGATGCTATCTTTTCCAGTGAAGGTATTTGGCTCCTTTGTCAAAGATAAGGTGGCTGATTATCTCTGGAGTTGTTCCTGCATCTTCTAGTCTGTCCCATGACCCTCAGGTCTATTATTCTGCCAGTATCATGCTGTTTTTATCACAGCCTTGTAGTATAATTTCAGATCAGGGATTGTGATGCCCCTCCCTTGCTTTTTATTGCCCAGAACTGCTTTTGCTATTCTTGGTCTCTTCTGGTTCCAAAAGAATTTTGGCATTTCTTTCTCTAATTGTATGAGACATGCTATTGGAATTTTGAAGAGATTGCATTAAATCTGTATAATAATTTTGGGAGTACGGCCATTTTTACTATGTTGGGGCTTCCTACTCAAGAGCAAAGGATATCCTTCTATTTTCTGATATCCTCTTCAATCTCCTTTTCCAGAGTACTGTAGTTTTCAACATAAAGTTCTTTTACTTCTTTCATTAGATTGATTCCTAAGTATTTCTTTCTTTTGGATGCTATTGTGAAAGATATGGTCTCCCTAATTTCTCTCTCTGTGAATTTATTATTTGTGTACAAGAAGGCTATTGATTTTTGAGTATTGACTTTGTATCCAGCTATGCTACTGAATTTGGTTATTAAATCTAGAAGTCTCTTGGCAGAGTTTTTGGGGTTTTCTATGTAGAGTATCATGTCATCTGCAAATAATGATAATTTAACTTCTTCCTTTCCTATCCTTATTTCTTTTATTTCTTTCTCTTGTCTAATTGCTCTGGCTAATGTTTCCAGAACAAAGAGATCAATCTAGCATTAACTTTTCTCTACCATCATGTAACTAAAACCTAAATAACAATAAAGGCAGTTAACATGTATTGACTAATTTCTATGTACCAGGTACTGTTCTATATGCTTTATAATATTAATTTAGTAAATTCTCTTAACTTCTTTATGAAACTGGTATTTCCATCATGATTTAATGTTGGAGCAAAATAAAATGCAGGAAGAGAAACATAGATGAAGGACCACTAAGGAGCTATGTGATCTGAGAGGATTAATTGCTTATTACTTCAGTTATTATTTTCCCTAATGTACTTACTTTATATATTTTGCTCTGTAAATTCAGTATTTCTTTCAAGCTGATTATTGGTAAATTTCATTTCTATTTTTCATAACTACTTTTCTTTTGAAATGTAAAGTACCATTGTAAATACAATCCAGTAAGAATGAAATAATATGAGGTAGAATAAAAACACTGACAACTGGCCACTTAAGTCTTTTCCAACAAGTCTGTAGCACTGTTCTGTCACGCTGTGTATTTAGACACCTCAGAACTTATCAAGAGAGTTTACACAATGGAGTGCTAAGTGGAGCAATTCACTTCTAAAACAGCTACTATCCTGGAAAGAGTTGTCCAGGATTTTGAAGTTAAGCAATTAAATAGATGAATTAATTATATCAAGTGACTACATGCAGGTCTCTGTTTCTTAAATTCAGTAAACAAATATGTTCCATGAAAATAAAACCAAATATCTGTGTTCTCAGTGCTAACCAGTGATTCAAGTTTTATTAATATTAATTTTCCATAAAATCTGATTGACTTTGGAGAAAATACTGTTTTATAGGATTTCTCTAGAAAGTTCTCTGAATTGAATTCCTCAAATACACCTCCTCCAAAACTTAATATTCATGTATTCATAGGAAGAATATGATTGTAAAGACTCACATATTTAAATTAAGTTTTCTTCGTATAAAGACAACTTTGAATAAAGACTTTTTCTAATGTTAGACTTACAAGTCAGTCACAATTAGTTTGGACTAAACTAACCATAATAAACTTTTATTCAAAGTAAGAAATACTACTTCATTAGTGCAGATTGTTTACATTCTTGTCAGTGATATTCAAGAATACTTATTCTAGTTGAGTTCAGTGCTCATCCCATATTATGCCATATATTGTGTATTATACTTCACAGTACACTATTTTAATACAGATATTGATTTTAGATTACTCATCAAAACTGTGTCATTTTTATATATTATATGAATGACAATATACTTTGAACAGTAAAATATTTTTGCTTACTTTTCCTGCGGTGCTCATGTTGCTCCTGTCTCTCCTGCAGATCAGGGTTATGAATCCCTGGGCTTCTTTTCTGCTCCGGTACACAAAGCAAATGTGTTGCACAAGTGTTCTGCTTGCTTAAGTAACAGCCAATTTCACACGTGATCTAGTGTTTCAGCTACATCTATCAGTTTATTCTCACTCCATCAAGTCAGAAAGAAAAGGGCACAGTACTATCTTCTAAAACTGGTTTATGACATACCAATTGCACAGAAAACTAGGTTAACTACTTCCTTATACTTCCTCTCTCTGCCTCTCTCTTTCTGTCTCTCTGTCACTCTCTTTTCCTCTTTCCATCCTCCTTTATTCCTTCTTCCCCCTCCTCAGTCCTAGTCAGATTGAAATTCTTTTTCCCTTTGCCTTCACTAAGCTACAACTGTGAATCAACAGGGTGCAGGGAAGATGAAATTGTAAGGAATGGAAGAGATGAAATAAGACATACAGAGCAACATTCTAGAGAATGCTGATAGCTCCAGAGTGCTCCTTTTTTGGAGCAGAGAAACAGACAGCCAAGGTCAAAGCAAAGGTTTTCACTGTGCTACATTTCTTCTGTGCACAATATCAGTCAGCATTGACTGAATACATCCCCTTGCAGTGGGTGGACAAATGAGATGGAGAGAGAGGGCCTCTACCTCTGCCAAGGGGCTGTCTGGGCAGTGATTGCAGCATGAGCTGGGGTAAGATAGATCCTTTTCCTTACAAGCTGTGCAAATTTGGACTTATTTTTAACTGTCTTTTGCCTTAGTTGTTTTTTTTTTTTTTCTGTCTGATAGATGATAAGTGATAGTACCAACTTACTAAACCATGGAGGAACAATGAAATAATCTATGTTAAACTAAAATTCCATTCATAAAGGAAGCTCAGTTTACTGGAGGAAAAAGGTAAATGGGAAGAAACTCAACCTCCCTGAGAAATGCTATTTCAAGGGAAAAATTCTGCTTGAAATACTCAGAAGAGGCTTTGCAGTGAGCAGATGTTTGAAGTACAGCCTAAAGAATGATCATTTTGGAAAAGTGACCACAAACCCCAATGGGACATTTCTCTTGCACTGTGTTTAATGTCATGAGTTCAAGAAAGTGAATATGAGTTTGATTTATTTTAAATCTTAAGTATTATACTGATGCTGAAAGCTATATTGTACATAGGTGCTTAATTAGATGCAATAAACTCTGTATTTTCCTAGAGTTGTCCAGGAAAAACTAGTGTTGTCTCTGTCCAACTTGAATTATGCACATGTAGGAAGCCATGTTAGGTGTCCTCTACCCAGCCAGCAGGAAGGTGAGGGAGGTTTCCCATCTTTTTTTTTTTTTTCTTTTTGGTTTTTCTCCATTACCGGGAATCGAACTCACAACCTTGCGCTTGCCAGGCAGGCGCTGTGCCACTGAGCTAAATCCCCAGCCCCACTATCTTCTTATTGTGGTCATAGACAACTGAACAGGCATCAGGTCTAAAAAATGTACTTTAACCTTCTCTCTGACTCACCCGTCTTTACTTGTAACAGTCTGTATGGTAAAAGAGTTCATTTGTTTCAGTCATTTTTGAAAGACTAACAGGATTGCAGTCTTTACAGAGGATGGATGGACAGGGTAGAGTATCAGATGTTATTTGAATTGTTAATAAACTGATGGTTTATTTAGGAAGCATAAATTTGCAGAAGGTAATGCTCACAAATGGTTGAGCACTTACTATGTTTCCAGAACTTAGTAGGAGTATTTCCAACATTGTCACATACAATCTTCAGAGAAAACTTACAAGGAAGGTGTTATTATTACTGCCATTATGTAGACAAGCTAAGAGAAGTTCAGAGATTCAATGTCTTTAGAAATCCTTCCTAGGACGGAAAAATTGACTTCAAAACAGAACTGTATACAGGTTGATGTTAATGTGATTTTTATAGTATGAATATGGCAGGCAATCACATGGTCATCAAAGGACAGGAAGTGGGTGTTGTATCCTGAACAGCTGGACACTCTATGCTAATGGACTATTTTTCTCTGCTTTTCTTGCTCCATCTCTGAACGCACTGGGGCTTTAATTTATCTGTCTTTTAACTAGACTTTCCAGAACTCAGTTTTCAGGTGTCCAGCCTGCATATTTTGGCTGGCCACCAAGCAGTCAGTTAAAATCAGAGGTGGTTATGTAGGTGTAGAAAGTCACACTACTTTCAAAGCTTTCCTGAAGCTGGTAAGCAGCAACAGCAGAATCCTATGGCACATCTGTCTGATTCTTTCCATTCTTTCCATTCCCATTCTTTCCATTGCTGTTTGAAAAGGTTCTGGACAGACCAGAATTGAAAATATTCAGCTATTTCACCACAACTGTAGCCTGTACATATTTAAGGCCTAAGAAGAACCACTATAAAGACAAATGTTCGGTTATAATTTTATTCATATTCTTTTTATAGACCAAAGGACTTTGGGTATGTGTGTCAGCCAAGTTGTGTTATCAGTTTATAATAATATGTTTTATCTTTAAAATATTTTACAACCTTCATGGGTAAATGCCATTAATAACATGGAATAAAAACAATCTATAGGAGAAAAGTCACTTAATTACAAAGGAAGATAGTAGGGAGAGAAGAAAGGAAAGAAAAATCTAGAAAATAATAAAATGGCATTAGCAAGTTCTTACTTTTAAAGAATTGCCTTGAGTGAAAGTGGGTTAATATTTTTCTAATCATAAGATATAATTTGGTTAATGAGTGAAAAACAAAGCCGAACTTTATGCTTCCTACAAAACACTCCCTTCACTTGTAAGGATATATAGAGACTGAAAGAAAAGGGATGGAAAAAGATATTCCATGCAAATGGAGATCAATAAGAGTACCTAGTCAGAGGGAGGTGGTGAGCCAAATTAGAGCACAGGGATCTGCCCTTGACTAGATAAAAGTGGGATCTGTTGTTGGACCCATAGCAACTGAATGGAACATGTGGTCCTACTACTTGTGGAACAGCAGCCTTTTCAATGGGCAAGATTAAGTACTAGTTCTTTAAATGTAAACCCAGCAAGATTATGATGCTGCCTACCTGGGCCAACCAGAGCACCTAATAACCAGGAGGACCCCAGAACCATGGATTTTACCCCCAGGCAACACTGACTCCCACTCCTGTGGTCCATCTCCACAGCATAGGCCCCACAGGTTGCAATGGAAAGCAGATACATCGAAATGACGTCCAGAATTTGGAGGCAGTTTTATTTATGTTGACAGGCATTCATCAGGATCATTCCCAGACTATCAGGCTCTAATCTCTGGTGGTCTAGGATTTAGATGAGAAAAGCACGCAGGAAGTACAGAGGCAAAATGGCTTGTCAATCGGGGATTGGTTTATATAGTGTGTATCATAGTGCCAGCTATGTATCACAGTGACCAGCCCTTTCTAAGAGACAGGAGCAACCAGAACAGGAACTATTACCTGGGCAACTAAGAAACTGAAGTATACTGGTGTGGAGGTGCATTTTCTGCTACAAGGTGACAGCAAGCAGATCAATCTGATCAAAAAAGAGAACAATACCCAGGAGAAGAGTTTCACTTCAGGACTGCCACAGAGTCCAGGTGAGAGACAGCCTTAGGAGACAGACTAGAGGGAGAGAGTAAACAAGGATCCCCTGAGATCCCCTGGAGGCCCAGAATCAGATCAGAAAGTTCACAGGGCCTGTTCCAGGTTGTGAGAGCCAGGTGTGAAGGGTGAAATCCTCAGAGGGGTGGTCCTGAAAAAGGTATGGAGTCTGGTGGTGTGTTTGAGTTCTGACACCGCTACCTAATCCAGAAGAAATTAGTAGTCTGATCCACTATAGGTAAATATAGGCAGCATGATTGTCTTCACTATAACCAAAGTGCTTCTTGTTCTCTGTAAGGGCTGTTCATGAGTGGTTCCTAGGGTTTATCAATGTCAGGTGGGCATTCAATGTTACTGATATCACTGCATTTACTACTACAGCCAAGGTAACTAGTAGTGGTTGACAACTAGTTTTATTGCTATATCAGTATCTGGATTTCCTGGGAGTCATAAACAATAAAAATTAGCTATACATACACACCAGATGGTGGGGATGCAAGGCAATAGAAGACCCACAAGTTCTCCCAACTATGGAGAGGAAATACCCTGTATTTGTGCTCTACAAAGCTTCTCATTATAGAAGAGATGAAAAAATGAAGCAAATTTACAGAGGAAGCTAACTAAAATTTCTTGGAAATACTCAATATGCCTAAAGTGGATTTGGGGAAAGTAAGCAAAAATTTGGAACAGCTGATCAAAATAGTTCAAAATATGAATGACAAAGTCATCAAAGACACAGAATCATCAAAAAGATACTAGACAGAAATATATGAAATGAAAAACTTGGTAGAGTTTATAAATTGCAGAAATGACCAATGTAAAGACAGAGCATATGAAATTGAGGATAGAATAGTAAATTATGAAGAAGTACCCAAAGAAGACACACACGCACACACACAAATAAGTGAACAAAAAGAGACTATCCAGCAGCTACTAGATAATACTAAGAAGACCAACCTAAGGCTAATCGGAGTTAGGAAAAAAGATAGCAATGACAAAGATGGAATTATTAATATGCTTACAGAGATCATAGCATAAAACTTCCCAAATATAAGAAAAGAGTTCAACACAGAAGTAAGCAAAGCTTCCAGAATGCCAAACAACTAGGATGAGAAAAGAAACTCACTAAAGCATATCTTTATTAAATTGCTGGGTATCCAAAGATGGTTCAACATATGTAAATCACATGTATCACATAAACAGATCAAAGTCAAAAACCACACAATCATATTAATAAATGCAAAAAAGGCTTAAACAAAGTACAGCATTCCTTCATGGTAAGACCCTGAAGAAAACAGGTAGAGAAGACCATACCTGAATTTCATAAAAGCTATTTATAACAAACCAATAACCAATATCATATTAAATGGGGAAAAACTAAAAACATTCCCTCTAAAATCAGGAACAAAATAAGGATGCCCACTATCATCACTTCTATTCAACATAGTACTCACAACATTAGGTAGCCTGGTTAAGGCAAGAGAAAGAAATAAAAGGGATACATATAGGGAA